GTCCTCAAAGACAAGTGAAACATCAAGCATGTTTGAAAAAGAAAAGGAGCTAATGAAGAGTATTTCCTTGTTTCTCAAACTTTAGACTTGTTGCTCCTTCTCCAACCCACGGTCAAAACCAACTAATTTGGCTGGTTCAACGTACCTGCCTATTTTCTCATACAGCTGAGGCTTGGGAGGTGGTAGGGACCTCTGCAAACAATAGGTTACTTTTCAAGTATCCAGTCACCTGCCTAGCAGAATATCATGATGTTTGGACAACACTTCTGAATTTACTACATAGTTTGAAAGAACATATCAGAACATCTGTCTATGACCATCATCTGGATTCACATGACACATGGAATTCTACTCCTTGCTGCTCCCATCTGACCATCTCAATTCCCAATGTCTCCTTAGAGCTAGAATGCTCCCTTTCCACCAGATGATGTATCAAGGGAAAAACATTCCAGGTCTTCCATATTCTTAACATTGATTCGGGCAAACTGCTTTATTCCCTTGTTGTTTTGTGCACACCATGCATAAATGATTCTGTATACAGCAGTGGGGCAAGTGCAGATATGCAAATAAATAAATCCTACAGCATTTGGAAAACCAGTACATGCTGGTGACCTCCAAGTCTCAAGCAGAGGTGGCACGATGCCACATATATATACTGTTTTACCTTTTATACTGTTTTAAAATCGAGCTCTTGATAGTATAAACTGAATGATACTTGCAAAAGTCAGAAACAGAACATTTTAGCACTTGACATAAACACAAACTTGAAAAATTATTGTGCTAAAGCTACATGAAAGAGATATTTCTTGGAAAAAAAAAAACTTTTCATTAAATGCTATTCTTATGTTACTTACTCCAGTATCACGTACAGACAATGACAGGTGAATCCTGACATCTCCCTTAGCCTTGGAGCTAAGGCCCTAAAATACTGAATTTACCCTTCTCATAGCTCTGCCCCAGTATTAATCATAATTTCCTAATGGTGTTTGGTAAGCCAGTGGAATACTAGTGTGTTCCTAACAGTGAAGTTCCAACAGATCAGGTCCTATCACAAAGATACCCGTATGTAGTTTCAGAATGAACCCGCTCGATCTGGTTTAAAAGCTGCTAAAATGGCCGTTCTGCTTGCTCTTCACCTCCAGCCATGTGCCCTCACCACTCTTTTTTGCACACAGCATTTAGCAACTACCTGTCCACACCGCAAGTTTAACTCTGACCTGACAGAGAACTAACCCATAAGAAAACCTTCCAACCATTACATTAACAAGCTAATCCAGCAAACCCCACCACCGCAGTTTTACTCGATCTGATGCAGAGATGAACGGGGTAACGCATGTCCAAGGATCACAGAGGCAGCTTCAGGCCAGCCTCTCTTGGGAACAGTCTGCTGCATTTCAACTGCATTAGACACAACATAAAATTGCACTGTTAATCACAATCAATATACTTGAAGGTTCAAAGGGCAGACAAAGGACTGAACACGTATCTAAAATTGCTCCTTATCACTCAAGAGCAGGGCATGTGATCGTTATGCATGGGAAACTCCTCAAGACACTACCTAAAATAACCACACGCAGAGGTCTTTAAACTTTAGGGCACTCGAACGCACTCAGCTGCCTAAAGGCCCTGGCTAAAGTATCTAAATCCTTACTGTTCCCACTTTCTGCCTCTTCTACCAGAAGATGCTATCCTCTGAAGTAGCAGTTGTTGAAAATGATGGTGCTCTAGCTTACACCCCCAGAAATGTAAACTAATAATGCCTCCCCACACCCCACCAAACCACGAGCTGGAGGAGAGGTAAAGCACCCATTCCCTTTTGCTGCCTTTGATGAAATGAACTAAACCTCTCAACAAGAACCACCACAAATATATTTCAGCTGAGAGTATCCAACACAGTTTTATACAAGTATCCTGTTTCAAAGACACTACTAAGGCTAGAAGTTGCTAACTAACTTAAACAACACTGGTAGCACGAGGCCCTGAAAAATAGAGCGTAAAATGAAGAGACAGCACTTTAAGGATTAATGTTCTAAAGGAAATATTCCTAAACATAAATATCCTAGGTCACTAGAAATATGAATAGAACCAAGCCCATAAATCTCGACGACGTAAGCCAAGGCTAGAGGCCTCCAGTCTTGCATCCTGGATTCCACCCATTTCAGGCTCTCTGCAGTGCTTAAACCCTAGACACAGTTCATCCATTTATTTTTGGGCCTAAAAATGCAAGGGTAACTCCTTACTTTCCACCTTCCTCCTTAAGTCTTTAATATCAATGAAAGGATTTGTGAGAACTTCAACAGAAACGGACTTCACGACAGTAGAAGCATGAATGGTTAAGTACTTCATCAAAGCAAAAATTTAAGAAAATACTTACAGACCCAAATAGGAGTTGATTCACTCCCTGACTGTCCCTTAAATAAATAGCTGTTTTGCCAGACAAGGTAGGCCTAGTATGCTGAAATAAAACGTCATTCAGAAGTACTCATGATTTGGTAGAGTGTAGAACTGTCCACAAAATACTGGATGGCCCTCTTTCTGTAAGTTCTTAATTAAATGAAGGTGTGTTGGGGAGCTCATGAATCTATACAAACACCTGATGGGAAGGTGCGAAGAGGAGGGAGTCAGGCTCTCTTCCACGGTGCCCAGTGACAAGACCAGAGGCAGTGGGCACAAACTGAAACTCCAGAGGTTCCCTCTGAACGTTAAGAAACAACTTATTTGCTGCGAGGGTGACTGAGCACTGGGCACAGGTTGCCCAGAGAGGTGGTTGTAGATAGGAGGTAGTCAAAAGCCATCTGGACATGGTCCTGGGCAACCGGCTCTAGGTAGCCCTTCCTGACAATGGGCATGGACCAGATGATCTCCAGAGGTCCTTTCCAACCTCAACCACTCTGATTCTGTGCTTTCAGTAGGAATGTGGGTGTTGCTTAGGCGCAGGGACAGAGGGTACAGGGAAAAAAATCATTGTCAGAAACAGAGGAGTTGTTGATAGCAATTAGCACTTACATACCGCTTTCAGCATACAAATTGTGCTCACCACTTGACTTTCAGAGACATATACACTAACTAACTCCATCAAAGAGGTCTTCTGTCGACTTGGAAGTGGATTAGGAATCAGTACACATAAGGTTATGTTGGAAGCTCAGTATGATGTCAACATCCTGTAACGATGTTCAGTATTTCTGACAGAGGCTTAAAAACAAATGGAAAAAGAAATAACTCTCCTTTTCCCTTGCTCAGACTGATAAAGGAGAGAGATAAAACGTGCAGGAGCTTCCTGACTCCTAAACTCTTTCCTTGTTCATCTGATGCCCTGTTGCCCCCTCAGAATTACCCAGGATTCTAAATGTTGTCTGTATACTCATATTTAATTCCAAATTCACCACTATCTTTCAAATAAATCCTCTTCCAGAACACGTCCAAGGACTCTTATTCTCACCAGTCTTTATCAGGGCAGAAAGTTTACCTGCTTTACCTGACTTTACAAATGGAGGGGACTTGACAGCAACCCCCACTTCCTTTGCGAGACAACCAGAATCTGTGAGAAAAATTCAAACATCTCTTTTCAGACTCATATCTTTAAACACAGAATTGTAAAAGGTGGCTTATTCTAAATGACCCTTATATTCCCTTCACTAGCTTTACTGTACACCAAAGAGAAGAGTTCTCTCCTGCTGGAAATACACTCATTTTCAAGTTGGCTATCTGCTAATCATTTGGAAAGATTCAAGAGAACTACAAGCTAATGAATTTTGTCCTGTAAGAGCCACAAAACGCATACCGTGTATTAAAAACAAACCACGAAGCAGTTTACATATATCCATCATGGATTTCTGGACTTCTGTAGTCCTCAGTCGCCCTCCTAAACACAAAATTGCCATTTCACCTTTCCCACAAGAATCACCACCCTTGATCGCATACGTCTGCACACGAAGGGAAACCACACACTGGTCAGGCACAGTCACCATCGAGTGGTTTGGCACATCCAACTGGTCTTGAGCTGAAGCAGCTCATCTGTGTTCAACGAGGCCACGGACACATATGCTGGTGTGTTGGCTGACACCGAATCAAATCCTGGAGACACAATCAAGTCTTTCATTGCACCAAGACTGAAGGTAGGAAGAGGGAGAAGAGTAAGAAGGAAAGGAGGGAAGGAATGAAAGGGGATATGTTCCGCCAGAGGAATTAGACCACACAGAATTTTCAAATAAGACAGCAAGAGCTTGCTTGTTGTAAATTTTAGCTACAGCATTAAGGAAAGGTTTGAGCGGATTTAACCAAGAGACAGACTACTCCTGCTTTCACAAAGCTGCTAGTTCTAGTAGCATTACTTAGGCAATATAGTCAGCAAGTGTCATATATTTAATTCCATCAGCTGATTTCTGCAATCATATCAGAACCAGAGACAAGAAGCAAGCACTGTGACTTCTGAATTTTTAAACTGAAAAAAGTTTCAGAAAGAGTATAACTGAAAATACTTTACTGGCAAAGATTACATTATTTATGAAAATACTGCATAGAAATTTAATGCCAGCAGCATTACACTAACTTTTAAGATAAAACTGTCGCAGCTTTTTCTGCTACTTTAAGTGGAAATCATAAAAAGTCATCATAACAAAAAGTATATAATCATAAATTATAAACCGTTTCATCACAGATGCCTTCTAAAAATGTCTCAATGTAGAAATTGTATGAATTCTGCTCCCTTATCACTTAAACTTACAACAGCAAAAAATCCCAACTGATGATTTATAACAGGTAGGAATTTGCTGAACAGTAATTTTTTCAAGCAAGAAACCAAGTATCTGCAAAACTCACTTATCTTACATCTGTTTGATTCCTTAATTTCTTGGATGGTTATGTAAAGATGCTATAAAAAATAATCCCTTGATAATCATCCTGAAAGTTGTAAGTCATGACCTGAGGTCCTGCTGTGCCATATCAAGAACACACAAGTGCTAAGAAAAGCATTATATTCAAAAAGTATTAGAACAGCTTACCATGCCAGGAGGGATTCCTGTTCGTGACCTCTAATTTGTCATGGAAGCCCAGACCCCTGCCAAGCCCTTCCACATCTACATCAAGGCTGGTGAAGCCATTTACTTGATTTCTGTCCCTGTTGACAGTGTTAATGCGGGTCGGGATAGGTTCAAATGTAGGGTCCAATTCCAAGATCAGCCTGTTCAGTTGTTCAATGGACTGATCAATATCCAAAGTTGGAGAAGCTGGCAAGTCCCCTGCATTCTGTCCTAGATCCAGACCATTTGTGTCCCTCTGAGGCACTGGCCTTGACTTAAAACTCTCGGCACTGGCATGTTCTGCAGCTTCAGCCGCACCTGGCACGCTTCCTAGCCCCCTCTGCACAGCGTCTCTGCTGCTGGAGCCACGTGTTGGGGTGTCCGGGACTCGGGACTGGCTCTGGACACTGGCTGAATTCTCAGTGTTATGAATGCCAACCCTCATTTCATTCTCTGGTGTAAAACCATACTGGTGAGCAGTGACCATCTGCTGCTGGCGTACCCAGGTCTGAGTGGAGTAATTACTTGGGCTAGTGGAGTAATTACTTGGGCTATAGGCTTGAGGCTGGGGTGAAACAGAAGGATTCCGTTGCAATTGCTGAGTTGACTTTGGCTCAGTGCTGCCAAATGATCTCTCGTAAAGTGGATCCACACCAATTCCCAGGTCTGGGGCAAAAGCATTGTGATGTTCTTCCCCAGTGTTACTCCCAAAGCCATCTGAAAGAAGCGAGTTCTGACTGCTCTTGTGGCAACTAAAGTTCCCTAGGTGGGTGGAGTGCTGCCCTTCTGAGGAAGACAAAGTCCCAATACTGTCCACACTGTGAAGGTCATGATTAGGCATTTCGTCATCCAGAATATCAGTCTCCCTGTCCTTCAGTTTGGTGTCTCCATTCACATGAACCTGAGCTGGCACTACGTGGCGAGTTCCACTGTACTTGCTTCGAGCATCAGTCATAGCCTTGGTGGTGTTGACAGAATCCTCCAGACCAAAGCCACTAAGTAGCTGGTCCAGTTCTGCCTTCTCTTGTGGACTCAGACCTCGTTTGACTCCTGACACAAGGCGCTCCTCAGTCTTGTCCGTCCGGACGGAAGCTGTTGAGTGTCCTGAATCACTGCTGACAGACAGGGTATGATCACTGTGATCAGGACTACCAGCCACAGCAACACTCTGAGAAACACCAGGGATGCTGCTGTCTGAAGAGCTCTTCTTTCTCACTTTCGCATACAGACTGCCGTCAATGGGACCTTGGGTGTGCAGCACTGTAGGGAGGTAAGTGGCAAGGAAAGGGGGAGAAAAGGACAAGGCGTTATATCAGGGCTTTGACTGGTGTCATAGCACACAACAGAAGTACCACTAATACTAATGGTATAGTTTCTGCAAAACTAAATTGGTGTTACAAATACAGCATCAACCAATGGCATTATCTTCTTTCATTTTACATTTCAATTTATAACAGCTTTCTTGATGGGAATATAACATGCCATTCATACCTCAGGATCAAATACAGCGCGCTCTTTTTATGCTGTTTTGCAGGCATGTTTACGGCTCCACAAACTGCTCATGCTAATTTGAAGAACCCCACTATTACAGTGATATCAACTGGAGAGGCAGCTACCATACATTCCATTCAGAACAAGAATGGCAGGAACCTACCAGCAATACTTGCCTTGAACATGTATCATGCAATCACCAGTTCATCCATTTCTACCTGACGGTCTAACTACACCCCGAAGAATCATTTACCCTTTCTTCATGGTGCAAGGAGAAACAGGCTTTCAATCAGAGCTGCAGTTCTTGGAATACATGTAAGGCCTCTTCCCAGAGGCATGCATGAGGAAATACTAGACTGTAACATTCCTACACGTGTGGAGGATCTCGTGTGCATTTCATATTTCAATTCTAATAAGCAAGGCCATAATCCTTTAAAAATCAGAATATACCTCCTTCCTCATCAATGACGGTAAGAACCTAACTTTATTTCTGATCCTTCAGGTACTCAATTAAAGTTTATGAATAATCATTCACAATAAATATGAACTTCCCCTTCTGTTTAGAACACCTTTAGAAAATACAACAATTTTGCAGGAAAATGCATCTACTAAGTTTACTAAGGCTGTGTGCTGAGACCAGGCAAACTCCTGCTTCCAGCTGCACGAGCACAACTTGGTATGCCTCACCGGCATCAGCTATGCGCAGAACTGGGTGAGCCAAGTTCAACCTTCTTATAGGGCTAACGAACTCCAGCGGAGAGCGTCCCTGAAGTGACTGCATTGCTTTGGATCCCACAACTGTTACTGGTACCCATGAACCCTGCTGCTCCTGCCAATCTTGGAGCACGCATCCTGTATTTTTTAAGCTGATTATTGATTTGCTTCCATGCTGCAGCCACCAGCCCATGTTAATTATTTCTTTTCAATAACCAACACAAAAATGAATGCAAAACATACAGCAGAAAGTCAAGAGAATCACGAGTTGGAGACTAAAATCTCAGTCTCTGAATTGTTTCCCATGTACAAACCTCTACAGGTTTTATCAGATCTGTAATATTTTAGATATTATGCTTTACTGCTAACAGGAATCACATAAAATATATATTCAACAATAACAAATACAAAATACATACAAAATGGGTAAAGTTGTTGAAAAACTCTCTTTTTGGTTACCGGAAAAAAACCACAAACTTGAGCAGATTTTTATATACAATCAGGAAGTTAAAAAATCCATGAGTTAAAAATACTACTGTGAGAATAATCTCTTCCATGTTATTTCAGTACTACCAACACTGGCAATGGATAAAACCACAGAACACCGAATACAGTGATTTCCCTGTGAAACATTTTAAAAGCTCAAAAGTTTAATTGAATCCAGCTTATTTTATCCAAACCACTTTTTCCTACTTCTGCCTGTCAGGGCTTTTTAAAGCTCTCCTTGGCATTACAGACCAAGGAGAAGAAACAAAGCTGTGGGAGGCACATTCTTATTATCCTTAATTGGACTTGTTTGTCCAACTCCCACACACATCACACAGGTTAGACCAACCAGATGTAGAGTATGGCTACTCGGCTCTTACTCAGTGCTGAAAATAAACACAATTAATTCTGTTTCTTATGAAAAACTTTAGGAGTAAATACTTCTACTATCTGCCAAGCAAAGAAAGTACAGTCAGTGGTTCTACTTCCAAAGGATTTAGTGCTCGTTTACCAAAACACTTATATTAAGCGTAAGTTTCTGAATAACTTTGCCTACCCATAGTTTGAAAATTGTTTGATAGTAAGAAAATTAGACCATTACAATTTAGGAACAGGCAGATTTTTGTCAAAGGTAACCAATAGCTTAGTCTACATCTGTGGCAGCTCCAGAATTAAAAGAGCCTTGGAGAACCTAATGCATTTCAACACCAACTCTACCACATATTTTCCAAATACACTTAAAATGGCATCATGATCACGAAGCTTCCAAACTAGGAAGCTTTTCTAGGCAATACCATTTTAGAAAAAGCATTATTCAGAAATCGTACCCACGATGGCAATGAATTCATCGGTTTATAATGGCAAGAAAAGTGGTCTGGTTGGAAAAAGCCTTCGTTACATGACACACTGCCAAGTTTCCATCAGTTAAAATACTTACACACTGAAGGTTACATGATAAGTTTAACAGATTTTAGCTAATAATTAAAGGACAACGTTTTACTTTTTAAGACTAGGTACTATTGTTTGATATTGATTTTAAAAACATGACATGCAAAAGACAAAAATACTCCTTTTCAGAACAAGTCATCAGGCTAGGGAAAAAAGCAAGCAATTCCTCTTGCTGTAGAAATTCTCTGTTAGAAATTTCTCTGCAAGCTGTTAGAAATTTGCTGAAGTTTATGATGTGTAAAGCGCATGGTGAACAGAGATGCTATGCATGAGGTTGGATGCCTGTGCACAGATATTTAAAAACAGTATTTATGAAAAACTACCTTAGCTAAGGAAAATGCAGCCAACTGACAGTTTCTCAACCCTCTTTCATGCTATGATTTCTCACAAGCTCTCACAACTGCTAGGACAAGGAAGCACACTTGGCGCTTCATGGGGAATTATTTAATAGTTCCCACAATAAATTGCAAAAACTAAAAAAGAAACCAACACTAAGAGTAACTACTAGGTGATTTTTTTTTTTCTTTTCTGTGTGCTTAATTCTGAGCTTAAAACTAGAAAAGAAAACAATACAGAACTGCTTTGTTTTAAATAGTTGCATATCCTTACACAAAACAGACTGGAGGTTACAGGTCTGAACTAGAACGCAGTTAGGTAAATCCAGGGCTAGTACACTTGAACGAGTAAGAAGTCTTCCTGTCCAACTCTCCTGTTACCCAAAGCTAGGCAAAGTGCTGTAAATCCTTCCAGCATGCTAGTCAGCCATGAATACCTCACACCAGATGAAACATTCTAGCATGCACATTTGGTTCGCCACACAGACATCTTCAGTACAGAATCCGTCAAATTCTAAAGTGCAGCCAGGGAAGCAACAGAAACCCTTTGTGCACTTCCCTCCATCAGCCCTCCCTGTGCTGTCACACAGTGCCGTCCACGCACAGCAACAGCAACAGACAAGAGGACGGACAGACTGCCAGTGGGCTACAGACCTGAGAGTCTTGCACATCTGTGCTCTGAAAGGTTCAGAGATAACCCTGCCCAGTACTTCTTCCACTAGTACAAAATTACCGCATTTGCTCTGCATGTTGCCCGGAGTGCTGAGCAATCACAAACCATTTGGGTGTCTCCCAGCTATGGACCGTACAGCTTCCATTCTGAATAAGAGACATGAGGTCAGCTTACCAGCCGCATCCCTACTTAAAATTATGCCATTTCACTTGGGAAAAAAAACAACAGAAAACAAAATGCAAACAATAAACCTACAGTCACATAAGTGGATTATAAATCTCAAGAAATGTTCATCTGCTCTCCTTATGTTTCCATTTGAAACAAAAAAGCTTTTTTAGAAAGTTTTTTTAAACATCTGTACAGTATCTCTACACACAAATGATGAAATGTGCAAAAATGACGCCTCGATTTATTTTTAATGGTTTTAAGAATTAGCACCATCGGATATAAATATGAAAACAGCTTTCAGCAGAGGATGGGGTTTTCATTGCTTACGATGCTTATGCCTGCCATTTACCTATTAAGTATGCAACCTAGAGCACTTTGATGCTTCTTCCCATTGGACTCTGGATTGGATACAACAGCTTTACAATATTCATGAGTTTATTAAGGTTTAGTTCTGTTTTTTCAAATTATGAACAATTTACATTTCTTGGACACTGTTCGTTTTCCTACTGCATTTATGTGTCAGTACAAAGCTTGGACTTAAAAGACATCTCAGAATCCTGAAGTAGTTGAAGTAAATATAAAAGCATCTTTTTCTGATAAATGTAGAAGTTAAACATCTGTCTTTGAACTCTCAGGCAATCCCATTGCTGGCTAAGACCAATAGTTGCTACTCCCAGTTTTAGTCTGAGCTATAGTTGGTCGTGAACACTAAGAAGAGACTGTAAAAAGTTTCACGTTTCTCTGAATAGTTAGCGTTAACTGGTAAACATCAAGGAACAGTGTAGGAATATTTTAGACAAATAAATCAGAGGAGAGGAAGAAAAATTTTGCTGAAGAAATTTCTCCCTCCCCTAACCTATCACGTAGATGAATGAAAATGTCCTTTTTTGCAAACAGAGGTTTTAAAAAACGCTTAAAAATATAGATCTCTACTACACTGAAGAATGGCATGTGTACTCATTAGAAGCCTGATTGATAGAGACAATACTGAGAACAACATTCTTTCTGGGACTTCTCATAGGGTCAGGTCAGGATGGCCCAACACAAATTTGGTTGGAACACAGGCAGCAAACTTAAGAGACTGAAAGGTTCACGGCCAGGAGATGAAAGTTTACACACACGAGTCTGTATAGGGAAACATCTCATTTTTATGGGGAAACTCAGTAAATCTGATCTAAAGCTTCAGCAGTAGTAATCATGTTTTTGCTACAGTATAGCCCCCGATGAAAACAAAACCTCTGAAATCTGAGATTCTGCGAAGATCACTAGAACCACTTTGTATAAGCAACTGACAACCGCGAGCTGTCTGGGCCTCTCAATTACTCCCACGTGCTAATGAATCACACGGCTCTGTCAGCACCGAACACCACAGCAGAAGGGATGACGTCTGCATACTAGCATCTCTGTGAAATCTTTCGGCACCATAAAACTGACAACTAGATTTT